GACACAGGACCACAGTCTTCTTCTGCCACTCAGGGCAAACTTCCCCCTGGATCTGGAGAGTCCAGCTGTTCCAGGGCTTAAGGCCACTCACTGGGATGTTTGGAAAAATAGTGTTCAGAGTGACCTTCTCCACAGTGCAATAAACCAGACACACTGGCAGCATTTTCCATTACGGAAAACTCAGTAATTAATTAGAAGCTGGGATTCTTCCCATCCCTCAATGCGAGCTTGGAAATTAAAATCCAAGTGAAGAATAACTCCAGGCCAGGGAGTCGGTGCTGGGGCTGCCACACAGTTGCCCCTACACAGAGACTTGAGGAGGGCTGCAATTGCCTCTGAAATGTTGATTGGTTTGCTTCTGAGTTGGCAGCAAGGACACGGGTTTGACCTCTGCCTGCGGAGAGGACTTCAACAGGAGGGGACCCTGCGTGGCTCATGCCACTGCAAGGGGAAAAGTGTTCATCCCTGCTGGAAAGGAGCTGTGTTCTTCTCAAAAAGCAGTGGAGGTGGCTGAGGAGGGTGAAGTCATAGGGAGCACAGCAGAAGGGGAGAGGTTGGAACCAGTCCATGGAGCGTTGTGAGGTGCCGAGCTGATGGAAGCGCCTGAGAGGATGTTGGAGGCGTGTGGGCCATACCAGGTATCACTGCCCTCTGCTTGGGGAACCAGGGCCCAAAGAGCAGCCAAAAGCAGAGCTCCTGAAATCCCGTGCTCACTAGACACAGATCATCAAATCCCAGAATGGTTTGGTTTGGAAGGGACCTTAAAGACCACCTCATTCCAAGCCCCTGCCATGGGCAGGGACACCTTCCACTGGAGGTGTCCAGCTTTCACACCACAGGGATGGAGAGGCACCGTGACCTCCAGCTTAACACAGTCTGGATGCCTTGAAAATGTCTGGCCTGGCTTTGCACGGCACATTCCTCGGATATTCCTCGGAAATCTGCTCAGTGGAAGGTTGGCTGATGGAGCCTGTGAGGCCCCTGCTGGGGTTCTGGCGTCCGGGAGCAAAGGCAATCAGAGCCTCGGGAGCAGCAATCAGATCCTCCAAATTGGGCAGATGTGAGGAGGGGGGTTGTGAGTTCGGATCGATCCGGCAGCCAAGGTCAGTCAGAGGGAAGCCGAGTTCCTGGAGGAGGCACTGTGGAAAGCAAGCTGTAATAAAAATGAGGCGTAATAGGGCTGCAGCCAGCATGGACCTCCAGCTGCCATGACCTAGTTAACGCTGACACTCACCTGCAGGAAACTTCCTCTCCATTTCCAAGGCCTTAATGTCAGGGAAAGCAGGTTGTGGTGTGGATATCAGCCTGGGAAGGGGAGACGAGGCCCCGGCAGCCTCCAGGATGTGCAAAGGGTGCAGGAAGGATCTGTGCTGGTCATCTCAGCCCCGTGGGAAACACCATGTTACTACAAACCAGTGTGTGGCAGTTCGCACTCCACTGGGATGAGCACGTCCCTGTCAGGGGGAGGGATTCCCGATGGTCTTGCCATGGCCTGATGGCCCCAAAGAGTGCAAACCTCACATACCCAGAACTGAGGTGTCAAAACACACAGCCTGGACAGGGGGGACCTTGTGCCTCCCCCCAGTGTGACCATCACTTGGGGTTTGAAGGGAATCTCACTATGCCCAGGGTGTATTTCAGGGCCTTATCTCCTGAGCCCACAGCATAAAGCCAGGAGGGGAAGGAAAGAAGGAACAGAATTTGTCTTTTTTTTTTTCAGTTGCCTTCTAAAAATGGCATTTCAAGCCATTTCTTTAAACCCCTGGGACGTTTAGGGGATACTGTGGGCTCTCCTTGTTGGGTGAACAGGCTGGGGACTCCCTGCTGGAGTAGGGGAACGGCTGGGGTGGGAATCAGTGGGCACCAGGCTGAATGTGAGCAAAACACAGATGAGCTAAACTGCTATATTAGGGGGATTGTGGCCAAGTCAAGAAAAATTATTCATCCTTATGATCAGCGGTGGGGCAGCCACCCCACTGGGATGTGGTGGTAGCTGATCACTGCTGCAGCTGCTGGGGAGCTACTGCAAGGAAACAGAGTCCAGGACATCTCACTAAGGCCAAATGATGTCACACGGGATGGTGGTCACGGAGTGGACCTTCAGAGATTTGAGATGGACATTAGGAAGTGTGGTCCAGCCCTCAGACAGGTCACCAGAGCGATGGGTGATCCCTGTCCTGGGGGGTTTCAAGGCTCAGGTAGGCAAAGCCATATCCACCCTGATCTAGGATTGGGAATATTCTTGCCATGAGCAAGGACCTGGAATGGAGATCCCTGAGGTCCTTTCCACAGCTTGGTCTGTTTGGCCTTCTCTGCTGGGGGAACAAGCCAGGTCTGCCAGGACCATGTCTCTGCACAGTGGGGACTCCTGTTGCTTGCCATGGGGCTCCTGGAGTGTTGTCAGCACAGCTCTGGGCACCCCGTCTTGATCCCATCTTATTTATGGCACATCCTTCCTGTCTTCTCCCTGCTATTACTGCCTGAAATGTTGTAATTTAGATTCCGGCTGTGTTTGATTGCAAATTCTCCCAATGTACAAATTTCAGTGACAAGCACTAGAGCAGCTCATTTACATGCCAAAGTGATCAATCTGGAACTGCTTGTTACACCAGAGAATAAATAAATAACGGATACATTAAAGAATGGGTAACAATCAGCCAAATTAACCAATATATGTCGAATAATGACAAGCCCTGACATTCTTAACAGGGAACAAAAGAGGGAAGGATGGGACAAGCTTTCCCAGCATTGCCCAGGGCTGCTCAGCACTCATCTATCTCCTCTCACCCCATGAGCCGACAGGGATGTGCATCAATGACAGTGAGCAAGGGCTGGAGCCTGAAATCCTGCCTTTTAAACCACATACCTGTCTTTATTCCTCACATCTGCTTCCTGCAAGGATTTTTCATAGGAACAACACATTCCCTGGGACAGCAATTTAAATATTTCAGACGTGTGTGGCAGCTACGCAGTGTGGCAAGTGGCCTTGTGGCCTGATTTTCACCTGACATGTCAGGAAATCCTTCCAGGGCACCATCACTCTCCACAACCCCCTGACAGGAGGGTGGAGCCAGGTGGGGGTAGGTTTCTCCTCCCAGATAACAAGTGACAGGACAGAGAAAATGGCCTCAGTTTGTGCCAGGGGAGGTTTAGGTTGGATATTGGGAACAATTCCTTCACTAAAAGAGCTGTCAGTATTGGAACAGGCAGCCCAGGGCAGTGATGGAGTCACCATCACCAGAAGAGTTCAAAGAACATGTGGATGTGGCACTTGGGGACATGGTTTAGGGGTGGCCCTGGCAGTGCTGAGTTAATGGTGGAACTCCGTGATCTTAGAGGGCTTTTCCAACCCTAATAATTCCACGACTCTGTGATTCTGCTTTGGGACAGCCCAGCTCAACAGCTCTAACACCCATCTGTGTGGTTATCCAGGCACCATTAACCCACCAGTGGCTGCAGCAGGGTGCATGCTCGCAGCTGGCCTGACCTCCCAGTGGGTGCAGGTCTGCACTGGGATGCTGTGAGTGGCAGCAGAGGTGTGTGTGGTACCTGACAGCACTGCTGATCCCCATCTCTGCCTCCTGCACAGTGACAGGGAGGTGCCAGCTGCCTGATTTCTCCTCCTCTGGCAGCTCCTGCCTGTCAGCTCATCACCCTGGGGATCCCCAGCAGGGAAGGAGCATCTCTCCCTGTTGTCTGCTGTCAGGCAGCTCGCGTGTGCCTGCAGGCACTGGGGACATGTGGGGAGGCTTCACAGGGGTCACTGCTCTTCCAGGAAAGGCTGCAAGGCTGGGATGGCACTGACTGGTCTTGCCTGTCAGCACCAGCTGGGAGGGCAGCAAGAGGTGAAGGTGTTGCCCCGTGGCCCATCCTGAACCCATTCTGAAAGGAGGAGGGTTGCTCAGGGTAGAATCCTCTGGAGCAGAGTTGCTTGGTGTGCAGCAGAGCCAAGAGGCCACGACAGGTGCCCTAAATCATGGGGATGCTCACCTGAGTGGTCGGGTTCCCCAAAACTGAGGGCACCATCCTCTTTGGGGACGATTTTGTGACACCTGGAGCTTTGAAGAGCACCTGCATCTTTGAAGAGCACCTGCACCTTTGAAGAGCACCTGGCTCTTCCAGGTACACCCACTGTCCCCTCTGCCTTGGGCTTGGCCCCATTCCATATCACCTGGAGGTCCCACGTATCGACCTGGCCCCTGCTCGGTGATGGAGTGATGGTGCTGCTGGATCCACCTCAGCCGGGAGAACCTGGCAGGGTTCACACGCCCCACCATGGAGTTCCTTTCCCTACTGAGGAAAACTCCTCCCCCAGTCTCCGGGGGTACCAAAGTGCCCCCACCCCTGGGAAAGGGCCTTTGTGGCCGTGTGGAGGGGGTGGGTTACCCCGGCTCCCAACGTGCGGAGATGTCCGTGCTCTCACTCTGCACCTGGACATCCCGCAGGACACCTGGGGACAGGGGGACCCCCAGGGGGTCTCCCCGGCCCTGCTTCGGGCAGAGGAGCGGGTGGCACCGAGCACGGCTGAGGCAGCGCTGCCATCTCGTGGCGCGTCCCGTCGCTGCCGAGCCGACCCTGCCCGCGGCCCCCCGGCCACCTCCCGCTCCCGCGGACAGCCCCGTGGGAACCGGGAGGACGAGGATTCCTGTGCTGGCATTTGTGGTCCTCAGCAGCCTTCGGGATGGCACCGCGCAGCGCTTATCCACGGCTCCCCGCGGCCGGCACCTCTGGAACCACGGAGGGCAGTTCGAGTGACTTCCCGCTGCCAGAGGACAGGGTTAGGGTTAGATGGGATTTTGGGAAGAAATCCTTCCCTGGGAGGGTGGGGAGGCCCTGGCAAAAGTTGCCCAGAGAAGCTGTGGCTG